TTACAAATATTAACTGATTTAACTCATCTAATCCTCATAACAACCTAATGAGCTGGATGAAGTTATCTCCATTTTTTCCGAAGGAAACTGAAGCACAGAGGTTAGGCCACTTGCCCAGGTTCACACAGTTAATAATTGAGGGACCCAGGATCTGAGTTTAGCAATCCAACTTCACAGTCCTTTACTCCAAAATATTTTGCAAATTGTGGTATCTTCCTTAGGAATTTTTAAGAGAAAATTTCTGTATACGATTGTACACCTTACAAGTGGACTTCAGAACCCAACCAACATGGTAGTGGGTATCCTTTCAGACTTCTTTCTGTGGACATTAAATATATATGGGTATGTGTGTGTGCGTATATATGTGTATATACTGATTGGTTATATAAATTGATTGATATATATGATTTTTTTTCAGTCAATAATGATTGGTGGTCAAGAACATCCAAATTATACAAATCTCTCTTTTTACCCCACTTCAGTCTCATAATATGTCAGTTTGGTCTCATTTAATGGACTCTCCCCTATTGATGGACACCTCGTCTCTGGCTATAGTATAAATAAGACTGATATGAACATTCGTTCATATTCCCTTTGTGACAGAGGGTTGCCCACTGTCTCTGTCTCACTAGATCACCTACTCGAGCTTATGTGTGAACATCCCAGGGTTGTATTTGCATGTCAGACACTCAGGTATTATTATGAGTAACTCAAAGTCTCCACATATAAAATGTGCCTTCATTTACTGTTAAACAAACAAACAAAAAAATTGAAGACGTTGTCATCTACATCGTCCACAGCACTTTATGTAAAGCCCCTCATACACAACTGTAGAATTCTCATGCCGGAGCCGCCCTGTCTGGTGAGGCAGGTCAGCTTCCCCTTGCCCTGGTGCAAGCGCGATGATGCGGGCTTTCCTCTGGCTCCTCCTGCGGGGAAGCCTGCTACCCCGCAAACCTGGTGCCCACCTGCTTCCACATTTGCATCCTCCTCTGCTCCTTGCCTCGAGTTTTCTGTTTCCAGTTTATTAAACTCACTTTTTGTAAAAGCATTTCAGATCCTTTTGAGAAAGAAGAGGCTATAAAAACAATCTCTTTCGTATTATTAATAAGGCGATAAAATGCATGTTTCAAAATAGCCATTGTTTGGCAACATGGTAATTTAAAAAAAAAAGAAAAAGCACAGACTTTAGGCTAAAATTATGTGAGTCCACCATTCACTTGTGCAATGGCTTTAGGCCAGCCATTTAATCTCTGCAAGGCTCAGTTTACTTCTCTGTAAAGTGGGGTTAATAATACCTGGGTCATGGGGTTTCTTCGAGGATTAAATGAGATGCTCAGAAAATTACAAATGTTTAATTGAAAAATACTAAGGTGTGAATCATTGTAAAGCATAGCTCCTGTCACTTGCAAACACGAAACTGTGCTCTCCGTTTTTGTTGGCGGTGCATGTGTTTTGTGCTTTTCTGGTACCTTCGTACAGTGAAAAGAATTGAGGACCTGGTGTGAGCTGGTGGTGTTTATCCCCTGACGCAGCAAGATGCTCTCTGAGCTTTTTTTGCTGGAGTGTTTGAATTGCAGGGACCCAAACTCAAAGCTCAGTGCTAGTGGGTTAGGGTCTTCCTCTGCAGTACGTACTTTTGGTTCTCAATTATCCATGTGATGGGGGAGGGGAAATCATGACATAAGCGTAAATAAACGATAATCTGCAGATTATATCACCTCCTCACACATCCACCTGCTTTTTATTTTCATTCTCCGTCTTCCTTCCCACGGAGCGGGCCCTCGGACAATCGCCGTCACCCCTTCAGAGGTCTGGGTCACCGATTCCTCGCTCTGCGCCCTGTAACGAAGACCCACGAAGCGCTCTTCTAATCTCATCTCCTGCCTTTACACACAAACGCGTGCGCGCACACATACACACTACAGGGGTTCCTAATATTTTGGAAAAAAAAATTTTTTCATAAAGTTGATAGTACCATCCTCCTATTTTCTCTCTTATCCGACTTTTCAGTTTGAAAATTTCTAATCTACAGAAAAGAAAGAATACCCTCACCTAGATTCACTAATTATTTTTTTTTTTTTTTTTTTTTTTTTTTTTTTTTTTTTTGCCACATCCCCTTGATTTTCTTTTTTTTTTTTTTTTTTTTTTTTTTTTTTTACTGTTTTGCCACATTTGTCCCCTCCTCTGGTTCCCCCGGCCCCCTTTCTCTTTTTCATTTTGGCGGAAGTGTTGAAAGTTGCAGATACCCTGAGCTTGCATCCCTACCCGACTTGCGTGCATCTCATCTGATGTGGACCTTCTCCTGCGTGACCGCAGTACCGTCATCACGCCTTTAAAGCGCACAGTTGCCCACGATCCCGTTCACACGTATTCAGGTTTCCCCAAGGATCCAGCCACGTGTCCTCCCCCCTCCCCCACCATTCATTCAAAGCTCATTCAAGATAGAGCTCCGCCCTTTCTCCTCCCTTGTCCTTTTTTTTTTTTTTTTTTTTTTTCAATTGGGGTATTGTTGTTTTACAATGTTGTGTTAGTTTCTACTGTGCAGCAAAGTGCAGTTCCCTGTGCTATACAGCAGGTTCTCATTAGTTATCTATTTCATACATATTACTCCCGCGTCCCCTGCGTCGGCAGGCGGACTCTCAACCACTGCGCCACCAGGGAAGCCCTCCCCTGTCCTTTTTGAGGCGCCCAGCTTCTGGCACATCGTGGATTTGTCTGATCGTTTTGTTCCTCTAACCTCTGTGTTTCCTATAAACTAGAAGTTAGTGCTAGGGGTCTCTGTCCCTGTCTCTAATGAAAACACAACGGCCAGGGCGGGGGCGTCTCCTTTCCTTTTCCTCGCCCACCTTGAACAGGAGTGGTTGGGATGAGCACGCTGGAAGCCCCGAGTGCTTGTTGGTCCCTCCATTCCTTCCGTGAACTCTCGGAGCACCTGCTCTGAGCAGGCACGTGGCAGTAAAGCGTGAGGAGTGGGCAGAGGGGTGACCTTTTCAGTAGGGTGGCTGGGAAGACCTGTTGGGGAGGTAACATTTGGGTCCAGATCTGGAAAAAAGAGAGTGGAAAAGCGGGCGCGGGGGAAGCCGGGCTGCCCTGGGCCGGGCGCGCGTGCGTCCCGGGGACCCGCCGGACTCCTCTCGAAGCTCGGGGCGCAATCGGGGGTCCGCGCGGGGTGGCCTTTTCCTCTACCGAGTTCCCTCCTTCAGGCATCACCGTTTTAATGCGGATGATTTAAACACAGTTTTTTTGGAGGATGAGGGTGGGACTGGTCCGAAAAGAACTCCCCTGTTTATTTACAGATCAACTAGAAAACCCATCTCCATTTCAGAAACTTTAGCAAATGAAAAAAAAAAAAAAAAAAAACTGTTCTATTTTGAGTCAGAAGAGTACTTGCTTCCCCTTTATTTTGGGAACTACAGCTCGCTAGCTTCAGAAAGGGGTGTGACTGTCCTTAGAGGATTCCTACGTCAACCAATGAAATGATAAACAAGGTGAAGGTCGCAGACCTCCTGGAAGCCTGCAGGACCAAACGCAGGATGAGCTAGGGCGACAATGCAGAGAGGATGACAGTTCAGAGAAGAGCCCCTGAGGTTTCTCTGTACAACAGGAGGTATTCCGAATTCCCACCGCCCGCCTTCCCCACGCGGAACCATCCATCTATCGTCCTCTAAAGCCTTGGCAGTGTTTCAGAGTGACACAGATCACTGGGGAGCACCTACCCCTCGCCCCCCTCCCCGGGCCCAGGAGAACTTCCTGGACTGTGTCCAGGGTATCTGTTCTGTGAGCCTGGACGATTCTGGGGTGCCTTTAGGTTTGGGAACGCTGCCCTCTAAGACCCTCTAATGGAGCTCATAACATTTTGTTTTGTTTTCAATGTATAAATTTGACCATGAGGCTGTACTGTACGGCAATATTCATATCCGATTTCAGTTTTAAAATCATCTTCGGAGTCCCCAGAGTGCTTTGGGTGGCGCTCTACACATCCTAGTGTTAACTGAATAGACGAATAAGAGTCTAGCATTTAGAGGGGTGGCTCCGCCTGTCTGGTTGCCCGCACAAGCCCCCCCACCCCCGCCCCCGTCGGCGGTTCTTCCCTGAAGCCTTAGGCTTGCTGATGGCACCCTTTTGTGCCTCTGGCTCGGACATCTCTCCTGGTTTCCAGGCTCACTAGTCTCACTGAGAGCCCTACAGGATGTGGTGGTTCGGGTGTTCCTGCAAAGCATCTTTTCTCTGTACCTGTGCCTCCTCTTTTGTTTCCAGTCTTGTTGAAGGCCACCTCCATTGCCCCAGGCCCCAAGCCACTTTTGGTTAGAGCCAGATTCCATGCTTTCTGCCTCTTACTCACGCTTGCCTCTGAAGCCCCAGGTCCCCTCACTTCACCTCGCACAGTGCCGTTTGTCCTCAGCTTTGCCTCCCTCTCCAGCCCAACTCCCGGACTTCCCTCCTTGTTCCCTGAAGGGGTCAGCTTGAACTAGCTCCCTGAAGGGACCTTGTTATCTCAGGGCCAATACTTTGCGTGTGAAGTTCCTTCTTCCTGGAATCCCTTTACTGACTTTGCCACCTGGCTGACATCACTCCCATTCTGACTCACAGAACATTTCCTTCATGACACTTCCCTGCCCACATCCTTTTCCTCTTGCCTGAGTGCGATGTCTTTTCCTATGTCCCGTGCAGCCTCTGTCATTGACTTGCCACATTGTATTGTAATTTTAATTCACCCATCTTTGCCGCAAGAATATGAGTGTCTTTAGGGCAGGAATTATATCTTGCTGACATAAAACTGATGCTCAATAAATAGTTTTCAAATGAATGAATGAATAAATGTATGAACAAGCAGCCAGTTTGTGAACAGTATCCACCTTTGAGTTTGTTAAACCATCCTCAATGAAGAATAAAAGCGTATTTTTTTTAACTCTTCGTTAATGGAGAGATTTTGGTGTCTTGAAGCCAGTTCTGGAATGGTAAAACAATGCCATGGCTTTTGTATTCCAACAGGAACTATGGGATGTATAAAATCAAAAAGGAAAGACAATCTGAAAGACGATGGAATAGATTTGAAGACTCAACCAGTACGTAATACTGACCGAACTATTTATGTGAGAGATCCAACGTCCAATAAACAGCAAAGGCCAGTAAGTAGATAGTCTCAGGGGAGCATTCCCACAGCAGGATCAAAGCATGGCTGCGTAATTTAAACACCAAATCTGTACCATGTGCATGCAAAAAAAAGAAATCATGTCAATTACTTGGGCCTCCAATAATTTTTGATATGCTTTATAACTTAATCCTTTAAAGAGCTTATAAATATTTTCAGGATAACCGGGCCACTTAATGTACAATAAAGGGGGCTTTGGTCACCTTCTTATGTGTGGAGATAATCACCTTTCCTATCCCTGGTGTGAAGACCCACTCTTTATATATAAAGATATGTATCTGGGCTGGTGTGACTTAGGATAGGTAGTGAGACTAGAAGGAAATGCTGGATTCAAGTCAGAAGCCAAAACAGGTCCTTTGGTGTATCATACTTTATCCCATCTTGTTGTTCTTTAATTAATTCAAAATAGTACAAACACTGAAGTTGTCATGACTTATTACAGAGGATTAAAAGATTGGTTTTTTTTTTTTAAAAGCACAACTATTTCTGCTTTCTAGCCTCACACAGATATCTGTACCAACATTTTTATATGAGTGATGTGCTGTTTGATGCATCTGAGAAATGCTTGGCAAATGAAGGACTAATGCCGCATTTCATGGGAGAGAGGAACAGAGTTTTGGATAATTACAACCTTAAATGCACTTTATTTCAGATTTTATATCCTCTCCATCTATTCACTCACTATATGTATGTATGTATATCTCCCGTGGCCTGGTTTTTATGGAATTCCTCAGCATTTAAGCTGGAAATAGCTTATTCCATGTTAGCCCAAATGCCTTCATTAAGAGTTTTCATAGTTTCTCTAATCTGACATGTTTCTGAATGCCTTGGCATTCCAGAAGTATGTTATTCTTGTCACGCCCTCTGCCAACCCTCTCCCCCTCACTCCCCATTATACTGCAGGTTGACGTGTGCCAAAGTCACATGTCACTATTGAAATCGATAAGTCACTGTTGGCCTTCCTAAAAAGAAGTGGAGGGCTTCCCTGGTGGTGCAGTGGTTGAGAGTCCGCCTGCCGATGCAGGGGACACGGG